CCCCCACCCCGAAGACCCTCAAGGTTTCTCGCCGTTCAAAGGCCAAGTTGAACTATTTGACATTGTGCTCTTTATCGGCCTCTGGGGGGCCATTGGAGTCCTCTTTGAAACTGTGAGGAAATACAAGTCCACTAAGACCACGCTCGGCTTACTAAGCACTACTTACCTTTCAGCACAAACACAATGTAGAAGCAGGGGCAAAAAGTGTTCACTAGCTGCTAGGTCACTTCAAGCAAATGTATTTTTTATTGTCTGTTTTTGCCATTCAAAGTCGTGCTCTTTGCTACAGTTGAAAGGTAACAACCCTTTTGGGAAGCCTCCTCAACTAGTGCATTTTTCAGTGACTCTGCTTTTACTGAAAGTCCTGATGTAATATTTCCTTTTAGCCTGCTGCTTTTAATCCTTCTTTTCTAGACTTTTGTTCCAGCTATTTGCACTGGAATGGGCCATAGATATGCACAGGACTTTATCAGATTTCATCAAAGACGATCTCAGACTGCCTGATACAGGGAAACCAAGCAAACAGAATGTGCATTTTCACTGTTAAGTCATCCATTAAGAATGACATCTGCACCAGACTGGCCTGAGACACTTCGTTTAAAATCCGGCCGCAGATTGAAAGATCTATAGTGGCTTTGGGAAGCCGAGCCCTGAATGTTGTGCTTGTTTACCATCAGGTCATTCAGTTTGGGGCAGACTGCAACCAGGATGAGTGCACTTGCCGTGATCCGGACGCCGAGGAGAATAAGAGCAAAGCCGTGCGCTTGGAGGGAGGAGGTGGTGGAGCCGGAGGAGGAATGCAGTAAGATGGAGGGATGAAAGAGGCTGAACTTGTGTTTAATAGAGTCAAACCACAAACAATACACCACAACAAACAAACAAGAAATACTCAATTGTTAACATTTGTAATGCAAAGAATGTGATTGAAGTCAGACTTCATACAATAAAAGGCCATTTTAATTTTACATCAGTGATCTTACTGTCAGAAAGCATCACATATGAGTCATGTGGGAATGTGATTCCTTCCTGCACAAATCACAATACACCCACTCGTGAATATTGTATATTGTTTTCTTTTCCTGGTAAGAAATGAAGGGTTATCTTCACTGCTGGATCTGTGTAAGAGCAGAACATTTATATATTTTGCCTAAATGAGAAAACACTGAGGTCTAGTTCAAATAGGATTAAAAAGCAGTATATCCACTCTTGTACAAATGAATCATAATTGGATCAGATCACTATTGTTAATGGATTCAAGTACTTTTCTGGACTTGATTAGTTTTAGGGAAAAAGAAACCAAAAGAGCTGGCTGTGCCTGGAAACTGTCGAGTACACGCACAGACCTTACAGTAAGGGCTACTGCTAACAACTGTGTTTACTGTTAGCATTAGCATTTCATATAATTATTATAAAGTATCAAATTTAAATCATACTCAAGCCAAAAATACAGACTGTTGATTTTTCTTTTGCTCATCAACTCGTCTGATGGCTACTCAAAACCAAATGAGGACTAGTGGGCAAAGGAAAAGACTTGCCTGATTTCTGTTTCACTACACACAGACATTACTGTCCTCACTGCAAACCAAACAATTCCTCTCAAATACAAAAAAGAGATACAGTCTTTATCGTTTGTGCATCACATCCTTCTACAAACACTTCTTTCTGACATGTAGCTGGTTAGGAATGTAAAAGGATACATATCTGTAAAGACTAACATGTATAGACTAATATATTTGGATCTAACATATCTACTAGATCACGTATTAGTCACACAAGTCAACGCTATTTATATCACAGATCCAGTAATACAAACATATATCTGTACCATACAGCATGTGCACAGGGCTTCCCAAATGTCTGTTTTCTGCAAGTGTTCAGTTGTAAAAAACATGTCATACATTCACATACATACAAATATGTCAGATATTTATGATTATAAAGAATCAAATCCAAATCTAAATGTGAAAGTCAGTAACATCAAATACTGACTGTACAATGTGAAAACTATGATGATTATTCTTAAAAGTTATGGATTTCTACTGAAAACAAAGATGCACGTACAATTGTAATGTTGGAGTCGGCAAAGCAGCGGATAAAACAAAATAAAAGCGAATACTTTTGGGAAGCCTGGGCATAACCTCTCCTCAACACAGACCTCAAACCTCTCCTGCTTGTATGTTTGTACATCAGAACGGTTCTGGTATCCATTAGCCAGAAATGATCCAAATGTTGTATCTATAAAAGTGTAATCATGTTCTTTGTGATATTTCAGTACTTTATACTCTATATGAAATAAATAGCAACTTTATATCGACCCTTACAATGTCTTTCTTCATTTGATTTATGTTCACTCACAGGGGATGTGATTTTTGTGGGTTTTGTGAGTTATGCATGTGCAAATTACACGGTAAACGGTTACAAGAAATCGGCTAACTAGATGGTATACGAGCACACACACAATTTTCTGTTTTTGCCTTGATGCCTGTTAATGCTTTCCGATTTCATTACAGGCATAATTGCAAAATAATTTAAAGGTATTCTAATAACCATCTTTCATGCTGTGAGAGATATTTGTATCTCATGACGTATACAGTGGTCAATACTTGCACAGCTTTAAACTTGAATTGACAGAAAAGGTATAAAGATTAAAGGTGCTGTGTGTTATATTTTGCCATTACTGTGTCATGGATTGCTGAATTGCAGATGGCACAAAACAGGATCTATTAACATGTATATTTTATATTGATTGCTTCAGGAACTATAGCAGTTATGTTTATGCATGTGTTTGTAGACCGTTAAATACAGAATCAAATTGTCTTTGAAAGAAGAGACAGAAACCTTATTTCTGTGCTATGAGTCTTCAGGCCCTATCAGCAGATTTCAACACCTTTCTCTGCAGAGGACTACAACAGATCTGCAGCAGTACTATGCTTGACATGATTTGCAAAAAGAGAGCGAATAAACAAGTTTCTCAGATTTCAGTCTGGCTTTATATGCTGAATGTCAGGACAGCCTCCCAGCAAACTGTTACCTTCTGAACTCAGACTAAGTGCAAAATAGTTACCCAGTAATCAGCACTTGTGTCTGAGATCTGTTATCTGTGACTATCTGAAATGTTTTGGATGGATGGAAGTTAACCTTAGTCATATATAAAGATATTAGGTTTGACCATGCAGTAGACTCACTGAAATTCTCCTCAAATTAAAAAGTAGGCCACATTTTTCTGACATGCATCAGAGCAATAATAGAATGCCCTTCCTGGCAACCAGCGGCACAGCTTTTGAGCCAGGCTCAAAGCTGTTCTGTAAGTAACCATGTAGATTTGGAATATGTGATCAATTTATCCAAATCATTCCTGTTTGGAAGTTTGTTCTGATTCTGGAGATGTGAGGACCCGCTGGCTGGGTGGGTTGACTATCATTCTGGGGAGGACACTCTTATCTCGGTTACCCTTTGGTAATTTACTACTGGCTCTGATGTCTCCATAACATTTTGATATAAAAAGCCTTTAAAAGATACTAATTGGTCTCAGGGATGAACTATTATTCTTATTGCTGCAACATTAGCTTGTCTGAAGGTAGTTTTTATTGGACAGTAACAGTGCTGCCTCTGTGCCTCTCTTTATATATACAGCTATCACCACATCGCAATGGGAATCAACAAATACACCTTAATGAAAATAAACAGAGGCAGTGTGGTCTATACTACATTTTGTTTTTAAGTTTTTAATGTACATTACAGATTGGATATCATGCTTATCTTTTGACTGTGTCTCACTGTCAATATTGCCAGCTGAAGTGAGCTGGTGGTGTCAGTAAGAACGCTGCTGTTCCATTTGCGAACTGATCATACTGCGTCCTCCCATCCTCGGGAGGTTGTACCCCTGAGTCGAGCTTGCCAAGTTCGAACTCCCAAGTGCATAATCACCTGAATATCGGAATCGCCGTGTTTTCGTTACCTTAGAGTGAGCTGGGTTTTATCTACATATGCCACAGCTCGCCTTCCATGGAGTCCGCCATGTCGAACCAGAATGTTTCTACAGTAGCTCAGAGTGGACAAACCAAACACTGACTGTGGACATTTTTTGTGAATTTCATGGCCACCGTAGTTTCTTCTACACACTTCACAGCCCCTTCTCACTCCCAGATCATCAAATAGAGACACGAGCGGTGTTCAGTTAGTTGCAATGTGAAACTTCACCACTAGATGCCACTAAATTCTACACACTAATCCTTTAAATAATTCAAGAGCATGGAAAACTAAACAGAGCGCACAAATTAGAAAATACTTCTTCTGATGCCTGTCAGGCTCTGTTAAAGAATATCTAAACAGCCACTTTTCACAATATATTCTTTATTGTTCTTTGAAGTAGCAAAGATCAAAGTGAAAAAGTTTATGATAGCCACATACAGTATAGACAGAATAATCTCATGCAGGTAATAGATGCTTGGTTTGTATCTCTCTAAAAGGTCAACAGGTCTCCTTGATACCTTATTCATTTAATGTTCATTCCCACTTAGCTTGTCACCCTTTTTGTACAGATACATTGACACTGTCGTCTTTTAATCAACCAGTTTCAGATAGTGGATAACATCAGATCAAAGAAAGTCAAACTCTGCTCTTTACAGAACTGCAATCACTGGGATTAATCCAATTGTTTGACTAAAGCTACACAGCAGATATTACAGTACAATATTGTATCTACTAAAGCACACCTAAATGTTGTAAAATATCACCTGTTGTACATTTATATACAGAAGAGAAACACTGTGCTGTGCTATAATGTGATGCATTTATGAAATACTTTGCTGCCTATACAAAAATCTACAAGTGTTCAATTTTAGTATTCACATATGAGATTTGTTAAAAATCAACCACTAATATACATTTGCATTTCTTTGACATCAATCTCCAACATGGCCACTGCACAGCGATAAAATAATGACAAACAGAGGTCAAAGGAAAGTTAAAGTATACTTACGATAAACACACAGTATCCGTGGAAATGTCAGAACAACCTTTCTCAAGACTTGTACATTATTGCATGAAGTTTAATCATACAGAGAAGCAGTCTAAAACATTGAGACACTGTTAATTTTCATTAATTATCACTTTTAATAGCGTCCGTGGTTAGATTGTGGATGATGTGAAAACTGTAGAACAAGAAATAAAAATACTGTCAAATGGTTTGGCAGATTTAATTGAACAGAAAATGAACCCTGTGTACTTCCTCTGTTATTTAGTAAAACTCCTTTATAACAACTTCAGTTATAAATGCAAACTATCAATACTACATTCAGCAGGTTATATCACTAAAACTTCATGATAATGCTATGTACAAAGTTTGTTTTGAATGTCTATACTACCAAAATAACTCTCAGCAGACCATCCTATCTTTCTAAAATCTCTTTAGCTTTCAATGCTTAAATGCTACCTCAACCTTTCTCATCCAAACATGGATAACTGCAAAATACTGACTTTGTTCCCGTTGTCGCTACATTAAATACATTGGACTGCATTAAGACCAAACCAGGTTCCTTAGTACTCGTTTAAGAGGCTGACGTTACTCAAAATATGTCAAAAGAGAAGTGATAGTTGAAAGGTTTTGATAAGATTGGATGTGTAAGCAACTTCACACAATACAGCAGCCAATAGCAAATCACAGCTGAGGAGATACATGGTGTTTTAGCCCATGAAGTGTTCACCTGCTGGGTGTGCTGCAGTTATTCATAATAAATGCGTACGGCAAGCGTCAAAAGCTGTAAAATATGAACCAGTGGCTGGAATGTACCAGTGAAAGTGAAGCTACGATACATTTTAATGGTTAAATCTATACACGGCCCAGAATCTCCTGCATTTTGCATGTAAACTTTACAAGAACAAAGCGCTGACTTTTGGTTAGAAGTCCGGTCTGAGCAGTAACTAACTGTATCCAGGCTGTACTGGCCAAAACTCACAGCTACTATCAGGTTTTTGGCCACTTTTTTGACATCAATAGTTGACCTTTTGTAATTTTTCACCAACATGTCTGAAGATATGACTGAGTTTGGATTTAAACAGGCACAAAGGAGCTGTCCTTTATGTCCCAGATCTGTTCTTTTAGTACCTGACTCAAAACGCTTTCCTCTCTATTACACTATTAAGTTTGTAGATTTTTGCAACAAAGGGTAAAAAAGGTGCTCTATATTATGTATCAAAGTTTTAAAAGATTGTTGGGTCCAACAAAGAAATAAAGTGAAACAAAATGCATGAGATTTTTGTTTCTCTAAGATAATTGCATTTAATGTCATGACTGAATAGAAAACAAAATGTGAAATACCATTTTGATAGTATTCAACTTTTTTCCACATTTTTTTATGCCATTCTGCATGTAAATGATACAAATAGGAAAGAATTGGAGAACTTGAGGGCTGGAGGCGTGCTACAAAAGGTGCTTTTATTTTTCAAAAAGCTCCTACAAATAATGGAACAACAATGATCTCTGACTCATATTCGTTTTCCTTGCTTTATACATTGTTCCGTTCCTGCCTTGCAATATTTCACATTAAATGGCAATTAAAAATATCCAAATTCAGACACATACCAGCTTAACCAAGCAAAACGCTGGAGGTAAACAACAGAGATTCCCACACAATGAATCGACTCGATGCCGACTTGCTCTGTTGTCATGCACACATGGGCAGCAATAACTTTACGAGATTGAGGTGGCTTCAGTTTTGGGAGCAAGGCGCTGCAGTTGCTCTCCCCTGACTGCAAGACCCAGGGCATGATGGGAAACGCCTGGCTGTAGCCTGACCAAAGAGCTGACTGGCTCTTAGTTTTGACCATAAGCAGTAGCAAATCCTAAATTTCATTTTTCATTATATTATTATAGTAATATTGAGTATTTTGTAATATTTAACACTAGATTTAGGCTATTATAGTCTTGTGTTGTGCAAGGTTTAATCTGTTAACAAACATTTCTTGTGTGGTTAATAATGATAACAATAAAGTTAATTTATGTTGAAACATGGTCCACAAACAATGGGTAGCCTACAGAATGACCCAGCAGGATGTAAACATTCCTGTGAAGTCCTGTATATTCATTGAAGGCTTTAGGAAAATGACAGACTTGATCTCAGTTCCAGTTCATCTCCAAAGAGCCTAATTTTATCTTGTGCCAGCAGCTGCTTCACAGTAGTGTTAATGGCGGGATATATATTGCATTTCACAATTTGCCTCTCATTCACCCTCTGCTCTGATAGACTGAGACTTTAAATACATTTACCAATAATGTGGACAAAGCTAAATAGAGTATTTGGTATTTCAAATAAG